TCCATCCCTCAGAAAGTTCTATCCGGCAGCACCGGTCTGGAGTGGAGATGATGGGTTTGCACTCCAGGCTATATAGTAGAATACCTGACACCTGGGAGTTTGTAATGATGCAAGGCCCCGCCCCCAGCCAATTACATTAGAATCTGTGGGCGGGGCCAGGCACTGGAGTGTGTAAAAGCCACGAGTGATGCCATTGCGTAGCCTGGATTAGGAACTTCTGGGCCGAACATCCCTGGGGTCAAACAGCTGGTCAGGGATCAGGGTGAGATCCCCTCCAGCGTCCTTCTGAGAAGCCCAGAGCAAACAGGAAGTTGTTCAGCTCAGCCTGGGACACGAGTCCAGGACCCAGTCCAGCTGGGTTTGCATGCCTGTCTCCCATCTGGAGGAGCAGTTTCCTTTTATGTGCATCTGATTTTATCGACACAGAGTTGATCCACCCCTGCAGTTGGCTCAGGGTGGGTGAGGTGCCGTTCCCAGCCTAGGGTTCCCCTCCTGAGAGATTCCCGAGATCCTACTTCAGGTCAGCAGACCAGTCTGGCATAACGAGGTCACCTGAGACTGCCAACGGTCATCAAGGAAACACAGAAACGTCAAATCCCCCAGAAACCATGGGGAAAGAGAAGAGAATGGAAGTGGGGGAGAGTCGGAGGAGAGAAAGAAAAAAGGAGAGGGGCCAGCAAGGAAAAGAGGCAGAGCCGGAAACTTGTGGAGACAGAGATGCAGAGTGAGAGGCTGTAAGGAGTGAGCAAGGCACTGAGGGGAACTCTCAAAACAAACAGAGGTAGGGGATGGAGGTTCAGAAGAGGGAGTGGGGAGACGGAGGGAGACTGCAGGAGGCAATGCCTGTGGTGTGTGGTGCCGCACCTCCCTTGGAAGAAGATCCAGGGGGACCCTTGGTGAGGTTAGACATGAAGGGGGCCACTGCATCCTGACCCCATGGAGCTCACTTAAACAGAAGGCAGTCAGATGACAACGGTCTCTGTCAGGACTATTATTTTCCTGTTGCTTCCTGACTAGTCAGTGACAACTTGAGGGCAGTGAACAGTTGTTCAATTTAAAATGTTCATTAGAAAAATACCATATGAGAAAGAAAAATACCATATGAGATCACTTACATGCAGAATTTTAAAAAAAAAGACACAAATGAACTTATTTACAAAACAGAGACAAACTCACAGGCATAGAAAACAAACTTATGGTTACCAGGGAGGAAAGGGGGTGGGAAGGGATAAATGGGGAGTTCGAGGTTTGCAGGTAATAACTGCTATAAATAAAGTAGGTAAACAACAATTTCTTCTGTATAGCACAGGGAATTATATTCAATATCCTGTAGTAACCTATAATGAAAAAGAGTATGAAAAGGAATATATGTATTTTATAAGCATGACTGAAACTTTATGCTGTACACCATAAATTGACACATGGTAAACTGACTATACTTCAACTAAAAACAATATATATAGAACTTTATATAAACTGAAAAAATTAAAATGTTCTTTACACTGAATTCATTGAAATTTTTCCCTTTTCTCTTGCAAAATATAAAATGTCACATGGTTGCTCTTGTCACTTCCTGGAAATATTTCTTACTTTTACAGCTTTAGAATTTTTTTTAATGCCAGGTCATTGGCTCTTTTTTTGTGTGTGTGTGCTTTTTGATTTTTTTTTTTTTACATTTTTATTGATTCATAATCATTTTACAGTGTTGTGTCAAATTCCAGTGTTAAGCACAGGCTCTTTTTTTTTTAATCTTAATTTTATTAATTTTTTTTTAGCTGTTTGTTTGTTGGTTTTGGGGGGAGGTAACTAGGTTTATTTATTTAATTATTTTTTTAATGGGGGTACTGGAGATTGAATCTAGGACCTTGTGTATGCTAAGCATGCGCTCTCCCACTTGAGCTGTCCCCTCCCCACCAGCTTTAGAATTTTTAATCATTTTAATATCGGATTCTTTTCTCCCATTTCACGTGCACGGTGAGGTACTGTGCAGTCTGACCATGGGAGCCTTACAGAAGCACCTTGCAGGTACCAGCCTCCCTCCCTCTGCTCCACCAAGTTTTTACCCTCATGCACCTCCCATCCAAGCAAACCTGTCTCAAGCCTACACACCCACTGGCTCCGATAATGAGGCTAAAATTCTATTATTCCCACACACGACAGTGTGGTTTGGGTAACTTCTGAAATTCTCCAGATATTTATGAATGTAAGTTTAAATGCAAATGAAAAGCTTAATATAATTGCTAGAAATGCAAAATTGAGGTAAATGTTTGAAAACTCAAACATTACAGGATTCAAGTAGTTATCAGAAAGAAGTTTCTGGTAAGTTAGAAAGCTTTGTGAACGAGCTGTTCTGCAAACTGACGTCTAAGGAACTGACTTCTAGCACACTGGCCCTGCAGGGAAGTGGTCATGTGGGGAATGGGTCTTCAGGGAGCTGGCTTCCCCCCTGGAGCCAGAGGACGCCCATGGGGGCCAACAAGAGGGCC